TTGAAAAGGAAAGGCATTTATGAGAGACTAGGGGCCCGGTGCATGAAAATTTAGGCACTGGCAGGGGCAGGGGAGGGGGATGGAGTCCCTCAGCCCAGCCTGCCCCTTCTCACAGTCTGGAAGCCCTCGGGGTCAGGACGCGACTGGGCGTGAAGGCAAAGCCCCATCACACCTCTGCTGCTGCCCCTGCCAGCCTTGGCCGGCCCTGGTTACCTGAGCCTCGCACGGCCCTGGATGGCTGGGCAGCCGCCATCCGAGGATTGCCTGTGCCTGGGGATGGCCCTGGCAGAGGGGACTGGGGACTACAGAGGCAGGCGTGCAAAAGGACTGAGAAGACTGGGAGCTGCCATCTTGTGCTGTCGGAGCTGCCATCTTTGAGGGCATGGCATTCATTTAGCATATCCCCTCCTTACTGGCCGTGGGCACCACCATCTTTGAGGGTAGAGCAGACAATTAGCACATTCTCTCCTTATTAGATAGGATTACTGAAGAAGACTACTTAGATAGTTCTGTGTGACTAGAAAACGAATCAAGTATCTAGGTTCCAAACTTTAAGAAAGACAAGTTAGTACTGCCATTAACAGTTGCAGGAACCATGGATGGAGGTGCAGATATAGGACGACAGATTAATTTAGTTTGACATATATGACTTTGAAGTGTCAGCAAGACACTCAGAAGGAGATATTCAGCAAATAGTAAAATTGGTCTTGAGAGCTAAAGGATATCCACACATGTGAAAGCATCCAGTGCAAGGTCAGGTCTCCATACACCTTCGGCTACAGGTCAGACCAAATTATCTGTAGTTCCCCAAGGAGCAGCTCTCTCCCATTTCTACCTCCAAACAAACTTTCCTACCAAGCCAGCCACCCTACCTCACAATGGTTAACTCTTTGTCATCCTTCAGAATCCTCAGGCACCATTTTCCCAAACCCCACTCATTTCCACCAGGAGGATGGAACCTGGGTCTTACCTCTCTATATATAGAGAGGTAATGTTTAGTGCCATGATAAAAATAGCAGTCACTTGAAATACTGATTCAAAGAACAGACTTGACATGTGCTGAACAAGCCTTGGAAGAAACTGTATCCTCTTAGAGGTGACCGCTAAAGAAGTGAACTTGGATGAGATTTCCAAAGTAGAGAAAAGAAAACTAAGAGGACCTAAATATAGATAATATTGGTGAAACATCTTCATCTAAAGAGCAATTCCCAAAAATGTTTCTCAACTTCTTTCAGCCCTAAATACCTCAGCTGTAATATGGGGATCAGTACTCCCACCGCACAGGTTGCTGATACAATTAAGCGAGATAGGATAAAGTACCTTGTATACCATCTGGCATTCAATTAATGTTCCCATTTGTTCCCCAAAACCAATGTGAAATCATGTTAGAATGCTTATTTCTTTGCAACTACAGCCTGAAAAGCAACCCAACTTAAAAAATAAAGGTTACACTGGTCAGACCTTCTTCCTAGGGCAAAGTTTTGTTTTTGTTTTTTCTATTTCAACACTATTGTCAATTTGGGTCGGATGATTCTTTTTATAGGGAGCTTAGCACTATAGGATGTTTAACATCCCGGAACTCCACCTCCCATCAAAAACCACTCCATACATTGTCAAATGTCCTCTGGTTGAAAATCCCTATTCCAAAGCTAACTGAAATTTTCACAAAGACCTAAATCCCTTCTCCCATGATCTCTACAAATATATCTTATAAGTTTATTTGTTCCCCAATGACTGATCTACCCATTAAGCTTTGTAAATCATTCTCCTTAAAAGTCCACCGACACTGGTAGCTAGCCCCTGAACTGTCAAACAAGTCATCATAGATAATGCATGCAGCCTAGTCACTCAATGCTTTATCACACTTTGACACTTAAAGCCAAACTAATATAATGAAAGTAGAAGCCTATCCCAAAAGGTCTTCATACAAAATTAAGAGATTTGTCCCAATACTCAAGTGTTTAATATTTTAACATCAAGTCTGCAGGTGGCACTAAGTAAACAGTGTATAAAATGAGCTTTAGTTGCCTAAGGACTTCTACAAATTTGAAATAGACACTGACGACATAAAAATATATAAGTTTAAGAATTATTTTGTATCATATGCCCACCTATTTCAACAACAAAAAAGTTATGTTTGGCTGAAACCAGTTTGGCTCAGTGGATAGAGCATCGGCCTACGGACTGAAAGGTCCCAGGTTCGATTCCGGTCAAGGGCATGTACCTTGCTTGTGGGCACATCCCCAGTAGGGGTTGTGCAAGGGGCAGCTGATGGATGTTTCTCTCTCATCGATGTTTCTAACTCTCTAACCCTCTTTCTTTCCCCTCTGTAAAAAAATCAATAAAATATATTTCATTAAAAAAAAAAAAAGTTATGTTTGCTAACAACAAAAAGGAGCAAAAATAATAGAATAACAAAAACTGAGTTAATTTAGGGTTTTTGGATAAATTGCTTGAAGTTAGTAAGTATAGCATGGTAACTGAGAGTACAGATTTGGAGTCAGACTACTGGGATTAAAATTCCAACCCATCATTTATTAGATAGATGACTTGATAAATTACTTCACTTCTCTATGCTTGCTTCCTTCTCCATAAAATGGGGATAATTACGGTTATCTACCTTGTAGTGTTGTTTCGGACTAAATGAGTAAAAATAGGTAAAATGCTGAAACAGTGCCTAACACAAACATACTTAAGTATTAAACATGGTTTGTCATTAGTTTTAATGATGCATAAGCACCTTGGGTGGTCCATAAAAGTAGGTACAGTAGAGTCAAACAATAAACTTGCACCCACCTGCTCTGGGTTCATATTTCAGTTCCTTAACTATAATATTTCATTGGCATCAATTTCCTCATCTTTAAAATAGGAAAGCACTTTGAAATGATGACATAAGGGAAAGTCTAAGGGCAGTATGTTTAGTAGGATAATAGGGGAAAGTTGCATGTGACTTCCACCTTGGAAAAAGGAAACTCTGCTGAGGAGGTGCCTTTTAAGACAATACTCTAGTAATGGACCCCATGGGAAAAGCACATGCCTTGAACCAAGGTAGGTCTGATTCAAAAGCCCTTGCTTTCTTTACTCCAGAGACTTTCAATTTTTTTTCATCTCATGATATACATAAACTAATTACTAAAATTCTCTCTCTCTCTCTCTCTCTCTCTCTCTCTCTCACACACACACACACACACACACACACACACACACACACACAGTATAAATTTGATTCGTTCACATCCAGATGGCTATTGTTGTATTGGCTGTTGTCATTTTTTGAGAGCCACAAGCTGACCTGACAGGCTCAGGGGAGGCTTGCATGGCAGTATTGCAAACTCAGAGACCTAAAGAAACCACAAAGGATGGTCTGAAATTAAACTTTAACTAAAAGCAGTTATGGTGTGCAGTTACATCTTAGGCCAACTTCTTCACTGACAAAGGTCAATCTTTACCTTAACTGAGCCTATCTTTTTTGCATCTATAACATACCCTTGAAATGTCCGGGTAACTTGTAACTTTCCTTTTTCTGGAGCCCCTGAGGCACAACCAAAGGTGAAGGGCAGCCGGACAGATACCACAAATTCCTTCATTATGTTATTGTTCCTGCACCCACCTAAGTATGTGTCCATCATTTTACATTTTGTCCAATCTCAGGGGGTTTCCCACCACCTCACCCCCTTGCTTTATCCTACCTCCTTAATCTGTCACCCATGAATTTTCATATAACCCACCTATGTCCCTCCTTTGATTGCAAAATATAAATACAAATGTAACCCGCCATTCTCCGGAGCATTATCTCAATTCATTGAGGTTCTGCTTCCCAGCATATGTCGACAGTTTGGCTCATATAAACTCACAAAAATTCTTTACAGGTTTCATTTTTTTTTTTTTTTTACCTTTACATAGGGAAAAGAGATCAGAGCCCCTGACTAAATAGTCAAGTATTGCATGTTTTAAATTCTTGCAGCCCACCAGTTGAAAATCGCTGCTTTATGCTATAGTTTGAAAGCTTAAAAAAATAATATCCGGATTTTTTTAAAAGTTTCTTTTCTTCATAGAAGATGGGTGAAGGTAATATAAAGACATTAACGGCACTGGCAGCGATTTGGGCCAGTACGCGACCTTTTTTCAATTACGAATGATCCGTTCTTTTAGAAGTAAACGATGTTGAAAGAAATTCGATTTGTCTTGTATAATGAGGAGTGTCCCAATAGTTTTCGGTCAACTTGGTATGTTTGTTTTTAGTTAGTAAAATCACTGCCTTCCAATGAACATTTCAAAAGCATCAAGAACTGTGCACACTGCACTTTATACGAAGGAACATCTAATAAACAACGTCTTATAAGTAAAAGTTGCAACATCAATCACACGTGAAGCAGGTGTTATGCCCAGTATTGTCCTCACTGAAGCTAACAAATGCAAAGAAAAAGAAAAAAGAAGGAAAACCAGCCTTTCCTGTCCGTTCACCTAATTGCCGCTCCGACCCCCAACCCTCACCCCGCAGCCAGGCCTCGGAGGCTGGGTCCGGGTCCCTGGACCCAGTCTGGTCTGCAAAAGTGCCAGCATCCAGAGCGTGTAAGAAAAGGAAAGGAAAGTCTCCCTTTTACGAAAAAAAAAAAACCAACAATTCTGGCTTTGCCCAAGAAGGCAGAGCACTCGCAGGGACTCCCCCACGTCGTCGCACCCCGGGAAAGAGGAGGTGGCGGCAGGTCACTGCTCGGTCCGGTCCGGTCCCCGGACTCTCCGCAGCCCGGCCGGGAGGACTCCCACGTGGCGTCCGCCACCTGCCCGCGGCCGGCTCGCTCCCCCCCCCCCCCCGCCGGCGCTCTGATTGGCCCAGGGCGCTGGAGCCGCGCCCAGACAGGAGGCGACTCCGCCAAACGGGGCGGGCACCGGAGAGAGGTCGTGGCCATGCGGGCTGGACCCCGAAGAGCGGCATCTGCACGGAGGCCCCGGTTTGAGGCCGGCGCCGACCCCCTCCGCCCGACGCAAGCAGCGCTCACCTCAGTGCTGGCGGCGCCTCCACCTTCAGCTTCTTGGGCTTCGGCTCCCCTTCTGCCGCGGCCATCTTCGCGCTCCCACCCCGCTTAGGATCCAGCGTGCGCCCCACCTCTCCGCCGCCCTGGTGCCTCCCCCGCCTCGTAACACCGCCTCCGTTTTTGACAGACCCCTCCCCCTCGACTCCTCCCAGCTCCCGCCTCTCCCACCCTCAATCATTGGCTCTACCGCCTCAACTCCACCCACTCATTGGCTGACACCTCCCTTTCCTGGTCCCGCCCCTCCTCGCAGGGGGCCAATCCCCCACCTCAGATTGTGTTAGGTTGCGGATGAGCGCCTGAGTCCAGGAACGCGGAAACCCCCTCATTCTTCTGAATTCTCGGGGATCTAAACTACCTGAGCCCTAAAACGCAAGAGATATATTCGTTTTCATTCAACGTCTTCCCGCTTAATTTAACCTTTCCAAATCTGTGAGCCCTAGTTGGTCTCTTTGGAAGTTGTTAGTCAGGCAATCTCCTGGGCACCCCCAAGGCGGGGTCCTCACAGCCTACGCCGCCGCCTCGGCCCCAGTGCGGAGAAGACCCGGCGCCGAATCACTGACAGGCCCAGGTGTCGGGGTGAGTGCGAGGGGCGGGGAGTCTGCGTTCTGGGGACCGCAGGAAAGCTGGGGAGCAGGCTGAATGAATGTCCTGGGCTGCGGGAGCGCCTCCCGCGCTGTGGACCGGGGCCGCGATCTCCCTCCTTGGCCTGCCGAGCTTTCTTGCCAGCCGGGCCGCCCGGAAGGCAGCGGTGCACCTGCAGCCCCGCGTTCCCAGGCTCCAGGCCCAAGAGGTTCGGGCTCCTTGGGGGTCCCTCTCCGTCCTCTGGCGCGAAGAGAAGGTCTTGTCGGCCACAGTGAACTGGAGTACCGACGGCTTGGACCTCGGCCCCAGGCTTCTGCTTAGGAGAACCAAACCCGTGACTGTACGGAGCGCACATCCTGTTAGGAGAGAGGGCGGCGCCTGGGGGTGGGGGGGAGGGAGCCGGGTGCGGGCGGTACCGGGAGGAGGGGGCTGCCGATCTGGTGGTGGGAACCTAACCTGAGGTGGTGGCCATGAGTGTGGGAGAGGGATGGCCAATGTGACTGGTTGCACTGGATAGATTTGGCTTGAAGCTGAAGCTGAAACTTCGATCGTACAATGCATGATTAGGAAGGTGGTGCCACGATAGAATCAGGAGGAATTTTGTGGAACTTGGGATATATCGAGTTTGAAGCAGTAGGGGTTTAGGTAGAGATGGCAGAAGGATAACAAGAAGAAAGCATGGGAAGGAAGCCGGGAAGAAACGTCCAAGGTGAGAACAAAGCAGGTGAGGTTTCATATAATAGGGTAAGAAGTGTTTGTTTTGTTTTGGGGAGTGTGGTCAGTGACATGAAACGCTGCGGGGGTTAAAGGAGTAGGTAAGTGGGAGTCTGAGCCTAGGGGGTTGGATTTGATGACCCGGAAGTTGTTGGCCCGTTTGACAGCTGCTTGAATAGAGTCAGTTACTGAGTGGAGAGCCTGCCGGTGTGGACGTAAGCCTTCTTCACTTGGAGCAGGAAGCAAACACTTGCTGAGATTGGCAAGGTTCCTAAAGAGCTTGAGGTTGGTTTGTTTTTAGGAATACTTCCAAATATTCTTTTTTTTAAGGCACCATTTCCTTGATCCAACTTCTCCATTATCTTTGGTGCAGAACGCCAGTAATCAATGGAGAACATTAAAGATTCAAAATTACAAATGGAAGGATTCGTTCTGGAAAGAAAGGGGGACAGTTTCCATTGAAACCATAGAAAAAGTGGAGAAATGAGGGGAATGAAGAATTACCCAAAATTTAACACCTCTTTAGTAGGAAAGCTCTCTTTGCAATAAGATCAGCTTTTCATATTGAACCTTGGATTCTAAGCATGCAACATACTATTGGAGTTCCCTGCAGATTAGATACTCAGGTGCTCAGCGGTATCTCAATTCATGGGTAGGAAATGGTGTTTGTAAAGATGAGGAATTCTCTCTCCATCTGCAAATTACCTTCCTTCCTGTTACACGGAGAAAATTAAAGTCATTGTTTTCCTGCAGCCAAATATGCAAACCTTCTTCCCTTTTGTTTAAAGAAGAAAAATGTCTCTTCTCCTTATGGAAAACAAGTCCTTTCACCTAGTTCAGTGGTCTGCAAACTTCGGCTCTTGAGCCACATGTGGCTCTTTGCCCCTTGAGTGTGGCTCTTCCACAAAACACCAGGTGCAGGCGTGCACGTACAGTGCAATTGAAACTTTGTGGCCCATGTGCAGAAGTCAATTTTCGGCTCTCAGAAGAAATTTCAATCGTTGTACTGTTGATATTTGGCTCTGTTGACTAATGAGTTCGCCGACCACTGACCTAACTGATCAATACCATCCTCTCCTACCTTTACATTGTCGTCGTTTTGTTTTGTTTTTGGGTTATTCTCTCCCCTCCATCATCATCATCCCCCTCTGCTCATATCTTTTCTTTCCTATTTAAAAATATTCTTCCTTGCCGAGAATGGTTTGGCTCAGTGGTAGAGCGTCGGTCTGCGGACTGAAAGGTCCCGGGTTCGATTCCAGTCAAGGGCATGTACCTTGTTTGCAGGCACATCCCCAGTAGGGGGTGTGCAAGAGGCAGCTGATTGATGATTCTCTCTTATCAATGTTTCTAACTCTCTATTCCTCTCTCTTCCTCTCTGTAAAAAATCAATAAAATATATTTAAAATATTCTTCCTTAACTTTATGAACAACACCCATTTCTTTTTCTGTCTTTTCATTTCCTTCACAGCTAGAGTTCCTGAGTGTATCTTCTACTCTCATCTGTTTTTCCCACTTCTTGCTACTTATTTCTCATTTCTCAGCCCAATTCAGTATATCTGGTTTCCAGTTTTCCATTAAGCTATCACTGAAACTGCTTTTAATATCATCAAAGTCCTCTCTGTGTTAAATTATATATTCTCAGTAGGGAGAAGAAAAAATCATATTCCTTTTTTAAAGCACAGATATACTAACAGTACATTAGGAAATATACAGTATATACTTGTGGTTTTGAAATTTTCAAGGGGAGGGTTATGATAGAAAGAGTCTGAAAAGACTCCTTTAGCAGGAAATAATGAAAAGAAAGTTGAGAAACAACACTTTCAGTTCTTGTAGCTTAAACTGTTGGTTCCATTTACAATGTTTAAAACACCATTCTTCTGGACACACGTTAACACAATATAGTTACTAAAAACCATTACCTTCTCTGCTTTTTTCTTACCCTTTTTCAGCCAAATCTTTTTTTTTTTTAAGCATGTTTTTTTTTTAAATGGGACAGTGAAGCAAGGAGGCTCTTAGGACAGAAGAAGCAACAGGAGAGAGACTAGGAGGCTGCTTTGGCTCCCTAGAACAGTTATGGGAAAGAAGTGAGCCAAGGCGGAACTGATAGCAGCTCATAGGAAAGTCAGATAAGGGAACCTTGAAGACAGGTTCAGGGGATAGCCCAGGATGAGGTGCCACTGCCCATTGCTCTCCTGGTTGCAAGTCTCATGGGGACCTTAGAGTTTAAGAGATGAATGCCTGTGGGGGGAAGAAGAAGAGGGAGGAAAGAGTGCTGGCTTACTCCTTGGAGGGACAGCGCATCCAAATATTCTTTTTTTAGGCACATTTCCTTGACCCAGCTGCTACTCAGATGTTGGAGTTCCTTCCACAGACACTCTTCATTCACACTCTCTCTATGTAGTTTTATTCTCTTTATAATTACAACCCCCATTAACAAAAATAATTATTAAACAAATCTATTTCCAACTCGGCTTCTCTTGGGAGCACAAGACCCATAGATCTTTTGCATCTATTTGATTTAAATATAACCAGAATTGGGTCTGATCACACAGAACTAGGATTAATGCCTCATTTTCCCTCTCATACTCCCCTCTTCTCCCTCCCCAGTCTTTGCTCAAACCAAGATGTTTCTCTTATCTTTTTTATTTTACTCCATCCCCCCGTAACATTCTAGTTCAGGCCATCACCATAACTCATCTCTCAACTGGTCTCACAATATCCAGTTTCCCTTTTATGCAGTTGCCACAGTGCAATCTTCCTAAAACTGTAAATGGGATTGTATGAGTCCCCTGCATAAAACCATAAAAATAATTTTACATTGCCCTGATAACAAAGTGAACCCATCTCTGCATATATCATCTCACCATTCCCCTCACGTTCTAAAGTTGCTAAATTTTACTGGATTTCTTTATCTTGTGTTCTCTCTCACCATAAAGCCTTGCAAATTTCTATAGGACACTGTATTTCCCCTGTTATAATAGGATTTACATCTTACTGTATTGAGTTTTATGTCTTCTTTGTTGAACTCTAAACTCAAGTTCAGGGACTGTATTTTGTTCACCCCTGTCTCCCATTGTTTAATATAGAAAACATTCAAAACTACTTGTTGAGTGTATAAATGGTCAAAGTATTGGCTGAGAATCAGGTGAGCCAGATCCTTCTGGTCTCATTCTCTCACCTTGGATATGCCTCTTTGCCTTCCATGCCTTTATTCTGTTCTATATGGAGGGAATACATTTTCTTTTTTCTCTTCCAAGGGTATTTTGACTATTGTAATTGCACTGCTTATGTATCATCAGGATGAGTATGTTTGACATTTGGTAAAGGGGATTTATGAAGTATTTAAGCTGTAGTCAAAGCTCTGATGGAACTGCTCTGAAGACAATTTCTCAAGTGGCTTTAAAATAACTGGTAGAATTCTGTTTTCTGGCTCAGAGTCACTAAGAACAAAAAGATAGTTGTGGTGATGGTGTGTGTAGCTTTCCCAGAAGGTTTTTAAAAATATTAAAAAGAAGTGCAGCTACTAAAAGAGTAAGTAGCCAAAGAAACAGGCTGCAAGTGATATTTATTTGTTATATGCATTAGGCCCTTCATCATTATATGGATAGAAGAAATAAGCTCTCCTTTCGTATAATAGAAGGTTAAGATGAGTTTTTAAGCTAAGCACTAATGAAAGCTACGAAATGTTATGCTTTCATCTCAGCACTAAGGATAACAATAAATCCAGATGGCCAGTTTAACACACTGTATTCTTCTGAGACCTGAACTACTGCCAATGAAAACAACTTTGGTGGAAACTTTTCCTGGAAAGAATTCTTCACCAGCTTAAAAAGATGAGTAAGAATCTGGCCTCTAAAAATAAAGAAAACTTCAAAGTCACTTGTTTCAAGAAACAGCAGTCGTTTAGGGTGTGTAAGATAAATGGTTGAAGAAGAGAACATGTCAGCTCCTTTAAATATAATTTCTGCTCTAAATAATTTATTGGAACACATTTTGGCTTCTAACTATACAAGAAGCATACCTTCCAACTATTTCTCTTAATTAAAAGTTCAAACAGCACATTTGCATCTGGAAGTCTAGTTGTCCCAGCATCATTTCTTGAAAAGTCTGTTTTCTTCTTCCCCAGTTGAATGTCTTTGGCACTGCTGTCAAAAACCAATTGACCAGCCCTAACTATTGTAGTTTGGCTCAGTGGCTAGAGCATTGGCCTGTGGACTCAAGAGTCCCAGGTTCAATTCTGGTCAAGGGCATGTACCTTAGTTGCATATCCCCAGTAAGGGGTGTGCAGGAGGCAACTGATTGATGTTTCTCTCTCATCGATGTTTCTAACTCTATCCCTCTCCCTTCCTCTCTGTAAAATATCAATAAAATATTTTTTAAAAACACCAATTGACCATATATTTAAGAGTTAATTTCAGAACACTCAGTTCTATTCCATTTATCTATAATCCCCACCTTGTCTTGTGCCAGTACCACATAGTACCTTAGTAGTAAGTTTTGAAATCAGGAAGTATAAGTCCTCCAAATTTTTTCTTTTATAAAAATACATTTTTGGGGGGACCTGATGCAGTGGGGGCCAGACATGGGGGGATCTCCCTTTTCTGCGTCCAGCATGGAAAGAGAAATGAATGAACCGGTTCTAAGTGGAGGCAGCCAGGGATTGAGAAATAATAGAAAGAAAAAAGACACAGAAATAGATTTTAAAAGCTGAGAGTTGGGTGGGATGTCATCCTCTCTGATGGAGAGATAGCATGACTACTACCTGACCCCTCCCAGCACATTTATGTTATACCCCCCAATACCAGGAAGTAACACCAAAACTTAGGACCAAAGGAGCTTATTTGCATTCTTAAGTCCTGTTGCTTGTCTGGATTACTTATCTAGACCCGCCCCTGCCTGAGCTGATCTGAAGTCCTAGCTGTTTACACTTTCTGCCATCTTGGGGGAAATGTGTATCCTAGATGCAGCTCTGTCGATTGTCTCGGACTCAGCTGGCAACAATTAAAAGAAATGCCATGTGCCTTCCCAGAGGGCCCTGTACACATTTTGATTGATTTCAGAAAGGGAGGGAAAGAGAGAGAAACATCAATGATGTGAGAGAATCATTAATTGGCTGCGTCCTGCACACCCCCTACTGGGGATCGAGATGTGTGCCCTTTCCATTTTTTAGGTCTTTTTAATTTCTTTCAACAATGTTTTATGGAATTCAGTGTACAAGTCTTGCACTTCTTTTGTTAAATTAAGCCCTAAGTACTTTGATCTTTTTCACACTCTTATAAATAGAATTTTATCAACTGATGAATGGATAAATAATAAATATACAAACAATGGAATATTAGTCATGAAAAGGAATGAAGTATTAATATGTGCTATAACATGGACTAAGCTTGAAATCATACTGAGGAAAAGAAGCCAAACAAAAAAGGCCACACATTGTATGATTTCATTTATATAAAATGTCCTGAATATGCTACTATGTAGCAGCACAGTTGATTTTTTATATTAATCTGTGTCCCATAACCTTGGTGAATTCATTTATTAGATCTATAGGGTGTGTGTGTGTGTGTGTGTGTGTGTGTGTGTGTGTGTGTTGTTAGTTTTACTTCTTCCTTTCCAGTTTGGAAGCCTTTTGTTTTCATTTTCTTACCTAATTGCTCTGGGTAGAAAGAACCTCCAGTACAATGTTGATGAGAAGTGGTAATAGTAGGTCTTTGTTTATACATCAAGAACATCATTGTTCTTGATCTGAAGGGGAAAGCTTTTGGTCTTTAACGATTAAATACAGTATTAGCTATGGAATTTTCATAGATGCTTTACATCAGGTTGAGGAAGTTTCTTTTTATTCCTAGTTTGCTGTGTGTGTGTGTGTGTGTGTTTTATCTTTATTGTCGAAAATATTACAGATCTCCCCTTTGTTTCTGGGTTTTTTTCCTCCATTGACTCCCTCCACCCCATCTCTGTCCCTCCCAGGCCTTCACCACTCTATTGTCTGTGTCCATGGGTTATGCATGTGAGTTTCCCAGTTAATCACTCTCCTCCTACTCCCTTCTCTTCCCTCTAAAATTTGTCAGTCTGTTCCATACTTCTGTCTCTGGATCTATTTTATTCATCAATTTTGTTCATTAGATTCCATGTAGGAATAAGATCATGTGATAACTTGTCTTTCTCTGAGTGGCTTATTTCACTTTGCAAATACTAATTTGCTATGTGTTTTTAATCATAAAACAGTGTTGGATTTTGCCAAATTATTTTCTGTTTCTTAAAGTGATTATATTTTTTGTCTTTTATGAATACTGTGTGTTGTGTTGATTTTCATATGTTGAAATAATCTATGTACTCTTAGAACAAATCGCATTTGGTCAAGGTGTATAATATTTTTTTATGGTGCTGGATTCAGTTGCTGGTATTTTGTTTAGAAATTTTGCATCCATGTTCTTAAATGATAATGGTCTGTAGTTTCTTGTATTGCCTTTTCTGGGTTTGATGTCAGGATAATATAAAGATACCGTTGATGTATACTAAATTCAAACTTTTTTCCCCCCAGAAAATGATCCACAGTCTATTTCTCATAAACTGTTCCGGTGACATATTTCTAGAGAAGCACTGGAAGAGTGTTGTGAGCCAGTCTGTCTGTGATTATTTCTTTGAAGCTCAAGAGAAAGCTGCTGATGTTGAAAATGTACCACCTGTCATTTCAACACCTCACCACTACCTCATCAGTATCTATAGGGACAAGCTCTTTTTTGTGTCTGTCATACAGACCGAAGTGCCACCTCTCTTTGTAATAGAGTTCCTACATCGAGTTGCTGACACTTTTCAGGTTAGTTATTCATTAGATCTTTGAACTTAAATTTACCCAAGATAATTAGAGTGGGGACACATTATTATATTTTTTAACTATACAGCTTTTGTTTTGTTGTCTGTCCTACAGCCTCTCTCTTTCCCTTTCCCTTTCCCTTTCCCTTTCTCTCTCTCTCTCTCTCTCTCTCTCTCTCTCTCTCTCTCTCTCTCTCTCTTCAGCTAAGCATAAACCCTTTTATGTAGGGTATACAATAGCACACACGGCTGCTCCATTCACTGTTTTAGGAGAACAGAAAACTCTCATCGGCATGAAAACCTGATTTTTTATATGTATGATAAATTATGTCATCAGGAAACAATAGTGCTTTCCACACACAGTTCTCTGAGTGGTCCCAAGATTTTTATTGGTCATGAAATCTGATATTCACATTTTATTATTTTCTTTTGTTTTACTGAATATGCCAAATACTTTAATCTGTATGTTTTGGAGTACCTAATCAGGACAAGGGGAGTTTATAGTTCACATTCTGGTTTAATGCTTCACTGTACTTCCTGGCATAGTATGTAAGAGAAATTCAATTCAATCCAGAAATGTAAGAAAATATATAGAACTATCAAAGGTTTTTCCCCCCCTTTTTTTTACATTCACTGAATTGTGCAACTATAAATTTGCCCTTCAGAACAAAAAGTATTTAGCAAGCCTTTCTTCATTCCTTCCATGGTATTTTATTAGGACTACTTCGGTGAGTGTTCAGAGGCTGCAATTAAGGATAATGTGGTCATAGTGTATGAGCTCTTGGAAGAAATGTTAGACAATGGATTTCCACTGGCTACTGAATCTAACATTTTGAAAGAACTAATTAAACCACCAACAATTCTCCGTTCTGTCGTCAACTCCATTACAGGTGAGTGAAAATACACGTTATTAGGAATTGAGCAACTGAAACTTTATAAACAGCTCAATACCATTTCTTATGATCTGGCAGATTCTTAAGATAGTCCAATTTGGCCAGAATTAATGTTAGTGGTGAATTTTAAGTGGATGTCTATTTCTTTTCATATTTAAAAATCTATTTATTTTGTTAGATCTTAAATTATAAAGAACTTCTTGGTTATTACTCTTTTATTGTATGTTTTTCTACAAAACCACAATAATATTATTACTATTATTTAATACTAAATAATAAGACTAAATAAATTATCACAGTTAATCCTAAAGAAGCAAATGTCATGATGGATGTTAATGAAACTTACCATGGTAATTATTTTGCATTATATACACATAAATCATTATGTCATATACCTTAAACTTAACATAATGTTATATGCCAATTATAACTCAACTAGAGGCCCAGTGCACAAAATTTGTGCAGAGGGGCGGGGAGCTGTCCCTCAGACCAGCCTGCACCCTCTCCAGTCTGGGATCCCTCTCACAATCCAGGACTACTGGCTCCCAACTGCTCGCCTGCCTGCCTGCTTGATTGCCCTTAACCGCTTCTGCCTGCCAGTCTCATCACCCCCTAACCACTCCTCTGACAGCCTGATTGATGACTAACTACTCCCCTGCTGGCCTGGTCACCTCTAACTGCCCTCCCCCACAGGGTTGATTGCCCCCAACTGCCCTCCCTTGCAGGCCTGTTTCCTCTCAACTGCCCTCCCTTGCTGGCCTGGTGCCTCCTAACTCTCCTCCCCTGCTGGCCATCTTGTGGTGGCCATCTTATATCCACATCTTGTGTGTTAGAGTGATGGTAAATCTGCATATTACTTTTTTACTAGATAGGATAGAGGCCTGGTGCATGGGTGGGGGCCAGATAGTTTGTCCTGAAGGGTGTCTCAGATCATGGTGGGGGTTCCCTTGGGGCGTGGGGTGGCCTGGGCAAGGGGCCTGTGGTGGTTTGCAGGCCGGTCACGCCCCCCAGCAACCCAAGCAGAGGCCCTTGTATCTGCGATTTATCTATCTTCTACAAATGAAACTTTGTAGCCTAGAGTGGATCCAAGCCTCCTGCTCGCTCTGTGGCAGCAGCCATTTCTGTTGGAATTTATGTATCTTCCATAATTGAAACTTTGTAGCCTGGAGTGAAAGCCTGGGCCCACCAGGGTGTGCGGAAAGCTTGGCTTCCTCCATTGCCAGGGAAACCCTAGTCTCCCTCCTGCTTTCTGTGGCCACAGCCATCTTGGTTGTGGTTAATTTGCATACTCACTCTGATTGGCTGGTGGGCATGGCTGGTGGGTGTAGTAGAGTGATAGTTAATTTGCATATTACTCTTTTATTAGATAGGATAAAGCCAGAAAAGAATAAAAATAGTATTATAAAACTGGCATAGGACTCCAGCTGCTGCCGCAGGAGGTCCGGACACTGGTGGCCATAGGACTCGCCTGTACTAAATTACACATCTTAACTGGGTTGCTGTAAAGGACTAATGCCTAAACTGTCTCAGCATGGCCTATCGAGGAGGAGGTGGACATGGCCATGGTCCCTCAGCTGCACTCCACCCTGTTATCCCTGGAAGTCTTTGCACATGTAGAAATCGTACTCATAATATATGCATGGTGTCAGACTTTTTCTACCCGAACATGGGAGGCGTGGAGAGCCACATCTACCAGCTCTCTCAGTGCCTGATTGAAAGGGGACACAAGGTCATCATTGTCACCCACGCTTACGGAAACCGGAAAGGCATCCGATACCTCACTAACGGCCTCAAGGTCTATTACCTGCCTCTGAAAGTCATGTACAACCAGTCCACAGCCACCACCCTCTTCCACAGTCTGCCTCTGCTCAGGTGCATATTCGTGCGAGAGAGAGTCACCGTGGTCCACGCACACAGCTCCTTCTCCGCCATGGCCCACGACGCCCTCTTCCACGCCAAGACCATGGGGCTCCGCACCGTCTTCACCGACCACTCCCTTTTCGGGTTTGCCGATGTCAGCTCGGTGCTCACAAACAAGCTTCTCACGGTATCTCTCTGTGACACGAACCACATAATCTGTGTCTCTTACACTAGTAAGGAAAACACTGTGCTAAGAGCCGCACTGGATCCTGAAATAGTGTCCGTCATTCCTAATGCTGTAGATCCTACTGACTTCACCCCAGACCCATTTAGAAGGCATGACAGCGTAACTATTGTTGTTGTCAGCAGACTTGTTTACAGAAAAGGCACCGATTTGCTTAGTGGTATAATACCTAAACTATGTCAGAAATACCAAGATTTAAATTTCATAATTGGAGGAGAGGGACCAAAGAGAATAATTTTGGAAGAAGTACGGGAAAGATACCAGCTACATGACAGAGTGCGTCTCTTGGGAGCCTTAGAACACAAGGATGTTAGAAATGTCTTAGTTCAAGGACATATTTTTCTTAATACTTCCCTTACTGAAGCGTTCTGCATGGCCATTGTGGAAGCAGCCAGTTGTGGTTTACAGGTTGTAAGTACCAGGGTTGGTGGAATTCCTGAAGTACTTCCAGAAAATCTCATTATTTTATGTGAGCCTTCTGTAAAATCCTTGTGTGAGGGATTGGAAAAAGCTATTTCCCAACTGAAGTCTGGAGGATTGCCAGATCCAGAAAAAATCCATGACATAGTAAAGACTTTCTACACCTGGAGGAATGTTGCGGAGAGGACGGAAAAAGTGTACAGTCATGTGGCAGGAGAAACTGTGTTACCCATGGACAAACGCCTGGACAGACTCCTGTCTCACTGCGGCCCAGTCACAGGCTGCATTTTTGCTCTGTTGGCCGTATTCAACTTTCTCTTCCTCGCTTTCCTGAGATGGATGACTCCAGATTCTCTCATTGATGTGGCAATGGATGCCACAGGGCCAAAGGGTGCCTGGACTAAACAATATCCTTATAGCAGAAAACGGGGCAGGAATAATGAAATGTCCAAAACCCGGTAGAAGAAAGCCTGGATTGGAAGGTTTTAAATATTTGTAACAGTGGTATTAAGTCTATTGAAAATAACCTTGCTTTTCCCCCCCTTTTTTTTTTTTAAGTTAATTTAGTAAGTTGTGCTATCTCTATATCATACAATGTTTTACTTTGAGGAACGATAACTTATGCAATTCCTGAGTGTGGAAACTCTTTGCACTTATTTATAATTTAAGAGAGAACTTATTTAAGTCACTCAGGAATGATATTTTTCAGATTTCTGAAATTCTTCTAGCAGAAATGTTTTCACATATTTTGGGAGCTTTGGATGCTGAGGAACCAAGTGTTTTGGGGGCATTTCTTTCTTTTGGCCAATTTAAATGTCCTGCCATTAATTAGATATTTGCCTGATGTTTACAAGTTTCCTTTAGGGAAGTACAACAACACTATGAACTATTTTAAATTATGTCCGTGCAACTTTATTAGATACGTAAGTCATGTTCTTAACCTTTTATTGGGAACACTCAGTGTTACATATTATTAGCAGGTTTCTTGAATAAGAAGGTCTGTCAGCTACTAGCCTGCTTTAAGCGCCTACTATGTGTAGAATATTGAACTAGACACTTTTTGCCCTGAACGACCAGGGTACTTTCACTGTTTACCACTCAAATGGTTCACTTCATTGTAGTCACTTGACTACATGAAATGTAGTCACTTAACATCCAACATGCCAAAAATGCTCATCATGCTTTTTTATTTTTTTTAATTGATTTTTCACAGAGAGGAAGAGAGAGGGATAGAGAGCTAGAAACATCGATCAGCTGCCTCTTGCATATCCCCTCCTGGGGATGTGCCCACAACCAAGGTACATGTTCTTGACCGGAATCGAACCTGGGACTCTTCAGTCCGCAGGCCGACGCTCTATCCACTGAGCCAAACCGGTTTCGGCAACTCATCATGCTTTTAATGCCACTAAAAAGTTGCAGATAACGCTCTGAGTACTTTGATCCTGCTGTGTGTATTCTTCTAGGTAGACCCTTCATTTTCAGTTGTGTTTATGAAAATGCTGTTTACTTTTTAATTACTAGGGACCGATTCTACTGTTGAGAGTGCAGAGACAAACCCTCCACATCTTTCAGTGCATAATTGAGTTCTCTGTAAAATGCCTTCATGTTTACCGAGCAGAATGTATGAGATGTGCCATCTCAAACTCAGCTGCTGCCCTGTACCGTTGGGAGAAGTCACTTCCCTTCACTTGTGGCCTAGCTGATACCTGATAAGTATTGTCAGTGTGCAAAAAAGTCTTTACCCCAGAATGTGTTTTCCTGGTGAATTGACTCTGAAAATTTAAGGAATACAAGTCTCTTTGTGGATGGATGTGTTCTTAACTGTAATTGTTGCCCAGAGCCATGGGTTTTAAAACCCCAAATTATCCACCTGGTGTGTCTTACTGAACTCCTTCAAATAAGTTTTTGTGATAAAAGACTGAAATGGAAAGAAAGAGGCCCATGTCGGTACACCACATAGATTCTGGAAGTATTGTGATTGTGTACAGGATTTTTTTAAATGACAGTATTTACACAATTTTTTTAAAAGCATCTTAACATGCCTATGAACTAGTTGCCACTGATATAAAGAAGTATATTCATGTTTCATACTAAAACACAAATGGAAGAGTGCAATTTTTAAATCTAGAAGTTAGGAGTTCTTTAATTAAAGAAAAATGGACTGACCCAAACCATTAAATCTTATTGGGATTTTTATGCACAGAAACTGTCTTATATAAAAATGGAATAAACAGTGCCAATCTTCACCATAACGTGAGAAACTATAGCAAATTATAACTATAACTATAATTTGATTTTATTCAGCAATTTTCAAAGGCATACTTTTTTCTTTTCTTTTTGTTTCTTGGCATGTTATTTTCAAAATCATTGTCATTTATTTCAGATGGACATAGGCATTAAAGTTCTTGAATGTAAAATATATAATTTGCAAATTAAAATTATTTTTCTTTTTTTTAACAAATGGAAGTAAATTTGCTTATTCTACTAAATCATTTTCAGGCTTCCCAGATACTTTCATTGAAACTGTCAGTGTTGCACTGGTCCATATGTGGAAGCATATTGTTCTACCCTCTATTTACATTTATTTGAAAGTGAATTTGCAGTAATGAGGATTTTATGAAAAATGTATTTATTATGATGTTACAAAAAGTAGCACGTGTAAAACTGATTTATGAAAACATGCTACATGTCCTAGGAAAATAAAGATCAAAATAACATTTTCACAAAAATAAATAAAACTGGCATATGCTGCTACCCTACAATTATTAAAGTATAGAAAGTGTGAGACTCGCTACCACAGAGTATATACCGTCTCCTCCAGGTCTTGGTTTATACATGCAAGTGCTCCCTTTGGCAGCTCAATCATACATGCAAAAGATGTGTTAAAACAGAAAGACAAGAAATTAAGTCTATTTGTGATATCTCGTGCATTGTGGGCCTTGTACTTGTGTTATAAATTTCCAGTTTTGAGTTAATTCTTCAGTAGGGCTAGAAATTAGGTACATTCAGATAACAATATTCTTTTCAAAAAAAAAATAAAGTCTTGTAGTGAGATTTCTATGAAATGTTACGTGCTATTCCAGCTCTACTGTCCACCACTGTAAATGCCTCCGCTGGTGCACTAAAGTGGGTGAGAGAAGCTCTAAGAAACCGTTCACTCCATAGCTCTTATTCAGCCTTTGTGCAAGGCTGAATGTCAGGAGAAATTCAAAAAAGATAAGATGGCATGTTTGTGCTCCTTCCTAAAACTTATACTCTGGATGGGAGGGAACTAGGGGGAAAAAATTAAAATTAAAATACACAAATTACAGTGTAAGATTTTTAAAAGCAATTTCATACTCTGTAGGTGATGCAATCATAATGAAAGGTGGTGTTATTGTTAAGCATGTACTACATTTGAACTGGAAATGTAAACTTACCATATTGGTAACTGTTTAAAAGCTCAAGGGGATATATGTTTAGAACAACCAAACTTATTTTAAAACCTATGCCAGTTTACCAGGAAATTAGCCAGATATTGAACATTAGCCATATTGTAACCAGATGGGTGTGCTGACCTTAAAATGGAAGAAGGCCAGAGTATGTTCTTCATTGCAGTTACTCCACTGAGGCCTGCTTGGCAGCCTTTAGTAGAATCCAAGCTGAATACCAAAGGACCTAGTTATCACCCTGTATTCTCAGTGGAGACATTTTATCGACAGAAGGTTTTGAAACAACCATCCTCTTTTTTCATCAGTGGCAGCAGGATGAGATTCTGTTGTTGAGCCACTGGAATTAGGTTAGGTTACTGTTAACACACAGGAAGCAAAAGATAAGTAAATGAATGTAACCTGCTTTGGCAGATAGATGACCACGTGGCCTATTTCTGTCTTCTAGAAATGTGATCATGTTGATCTGAATATGTCTCTACCAATTCTAGAAACCATCCACAACTTCAATGAAGAAAATCCCAAATATTAAAGAAGCAGCTAAAGTATTCCTTTTTTTTTTTTTTTTTTTGCCCCCCTGTTAATAGCGTTTCTGATGACCATTTCATGCATTAGCTTTGCTTTCCCTTTTCCGGTTTCTAGGTAGTAGTAATGTTGGGGACACACTCCCCACTGGGCAACTATCCAACATCCCATGGCGCCGGGCAGGAGTAAAGTACACAAATAATGAAGCCTATTTTGATGTCGTTGAAGAAATAGATGCAATTATAGATAAATCAGGTAATTGTGTGCATGCGGTCTTATTTGGGGGGAAAACAGTTCATCTGACATAAGCTGGAGAAAAAATTGAAATCCCTTGGCAGCGTAGTTTCAGTGGAAAGACTAATGATTAAATTTATTTTGCCCAGAGATTACATATAATTTTCATAACCACTAGTTGAGATTGACCAAATCTTTGTAAATCAGATCTTATGTTGTCTTATAGTAAGCCAGTTATCACCCTATACATCTCTCCTCTTGCCATTTATTCATTCTAACATTTATTGTACTTCTACCATACACTATACTTTTTACTACTATTTTTGATGCAGTATTTCTAGTAAAGATCCCAGACAAAACATTGCTCTATGAAATCACAAACATTTTAAACATCTCAGAAGGGTTAAGTAAGCTGCTCAAGTAGCTCTGATAGTTGGTGAGAAACTGAATTATTGTGAACTAGAGCCAATATCTTTTCTTTAGTGAGTGCCCTTTTCATTATAAAATCCCATTATACAGAAAATAGCTGTATTGCAGAATAATGGCTCCTATTTCTTAAAAGTTAACAGCTTAATCCATTTCATGAGAAACTTGTCTCATTTTAAAATTCTGTTAAAAATATTTTAACTTCTTATCCAGCAGTTTTACAAGTTTGATTCTATAGAGATATAGACAAGTTTGATTTTCCTTAGAATTATCATATTCCAACCTTGTTAGGTGTGGGCCATGGCACCAGTGACGAAGGTGAAAATAATGGATCTCTGTCCACTGACCTGATAATAGATGCGCAAAGGTTCATTGTGTCTGACATCCAGGAGGTATCTCCATTACTTCAAGACAGTGATAACTCATAAAAATGCAAACTCACCTTTTTACTTTCTTTCTTCAGGATCTACAGTCTTTGCGGAAATTCAGGGCGTCATCGATGCTTGCATTAAGTTATCCGGAATGCCTGACCTTTCCCTTTCTTTCATGGTAGGTTTTGTTTGTTTGTTTGTTGTTGGTTTTTTTGTTTGTTGTTGTTGTTTTTGGTGGGGTATGGTACGTTTTGTTCACCTGTTCTATAGCGCCTAATACATATTCAGTACTAAATGAAATGATAAATACTGAGACACTCTTGTATCTTAGATTGTAAAAGATTATCTCAGAAATAATCCTAGCACAGCTTACCAAGACACTAGCTTCCATGATGAGCATGGCCTTTGGAAAGGCTGAGGAGAGGGCTTTGCCTGGGTGTGCTAGAAGTAGCTTAAATGGCTAGCTGGCTTCTGCAGTTCTGAGCGTGAATTTTACTGGATTATGTTTTGCTGGTATGAAAGGGCATTAATCTTTTGCATCATTTTAGACTTGGCATGACACACCACTTAGAACAATCAAGAAAACTGAGTTCCAGTTCTGTCTCTGCCACTAATTGTCCTGACCTTGAGTTCTTTGAACCCCCGTTTTTTCATCTATTAAATGGAAATGAAACTACTTGGATTTTCTACTTCATAGTTAAGATTCAAGTAAAATAATGTATATAAAATATTTGCAAACTTTAGACCAGTGTAAAACTATGCTTATGATGTGGTCATAATAACAAAATCTTACATGACTGCTTTATCTTTAGGGAGAATATTAATTTCTCGTCATATATAATATGAATAGAGTTGCCATGTTCCTTATGCTCTATGAATATGGTGACTGTGTTCTGTTTTCTTGGCAGAACCCCCGGCTTCTAGATGATGTCAGCTTTCACCCCTGCATCCGGTTCAAGCGTTGGGAATCTGAAAGAGTTTTGTCATTTATACCTCCAGATGGAAATTTCCGACTCATATCATATCGGGTCAGCTCACAAAAGTATGTTGCTGGAGGCCCGGTGCATGAAATTCATGCATTGGGGGGGGGAGGGGGTCCCATAGGCCAGCCTACACCCTCTCCAATCTGAGAGACTGCTGGCTCCCAACCGCTCACCTGTCTGCCTGCCTAATTGCCCCTAAGCGCTTCTGCCTGCCAGCCTGATCAGCCCCTAATCACTCCCCTGTCAGCCTGATTAAAGCCCCCAACTGCACCCCTGCTGGCCTGATTGCCCTAACTGCCCTCCCTGCTGGCCTGGTCACCCCTAACTGCTCTCCCCTGCCAGACTAGTCACCCCAAACTGCCCTCCCCTGCAGGCCTGTTCACCCCCAACTGCCCTCTCCTGCGTGGCTGATCACCCCAACTGTTCTCCCCTGCAGGCCTGATCCCCCATAACTGTCTTCCCTTGCAGGCTAGGTCCCTCCCAAATGCCCTCCCTCCCTGGCCTAATCACCCACAACTGCCCTCCCCTGCTGGCCATCTTGTGTGTTGGGGTGCCAGCCAATTTGCATATTACTCTTTTATTAGATAGATATGCTGAATAGAACTGACTTTTCCTTTTGATATTGGATTCTTGAGGTCATCATTGCTACCTTAGCCATGGTTCACCAGGAGAACCAAGAAGAACTGATGAAATATGTCTAAAATAATCACTTACTCCTACTCTACTCCTGAACCTAAGAGTACAGTAGTAGTAAATGAGACTATAGTAAAATATTACCTGAGAGCAAGCATTTGGGGCTGTATAACTTAAGCAAAACCGTGAACCTGAGCCGTAATTTTACTATGATCTATACACTTCATGGCTAACAGAGACAGACGTACCTATAGCTCCCAGGACATTCCCCAGCTAACTGGCTCAAGTCACTCTTCTATGCACTGAAGTTTACCTTCTTTAACTTATTTAATTATTTTTTTTTTTGCACTGGGGTTTAAATGAATGATTTAGTGTTGTGGGTTGTAGCTAGTTTGTCCCTTGAAAATATGAGAAGTTATTTAGTTAACATCAGGACAGGATTTAAAAGCAGAGGTATTTGGCTCCAAATACCACATACAAACTGCTTTATTAGTTTGCATAATTGTAAGTTATCTTTCTGTGGATCTTAGTTCATTTCTATAAACTAGGACTATTTGCCCCAATTGTTAATACTAAAATTATCTTCAGATTTCTATCTTGATTTGTATACTCCTCAGAAATTGTGTAATTCCTAGTGTAGTGGTACCAGAACAATGTGCTGTATTTACCACTCCCCCACCCCCAATGCAGATACAGAATCCTCACTTCTAGGGGTATAAGGTCTTTTTTTTTTTTTTTTTTTTTTTAATTTTTTTACAGAGAGGAAGGGAGAGAGATAGAGAGCTAGAAACGTCGATGAGAGAGAAACATCGACCAGCTGCCTCTTGCATACCCCTTACCAGGGATGTGTCCGCAACCAATGTACATGCCCTTGCCGGAATCGAACCTGGGACCTTTCAGTCCGCAGACCGACGCTCTACCACTGAGCCAAACCGGCTTCAGCTAGGGGTATAAGGTCTTATAGTGAACTAAGAGGCAGGTTAGGAAACTCTGGACTGAGGTTTTGAGGTCACTTCCCGAGCTGTCTCATTCCATTAATTATGTGTGTTTGTGCTTTTGTGTCTTTATCTTTTTAGTCTAGTGGCAATACCAGTGTATGTGAAACATAGCATCAGCTTTAAGGAGAATAGTTCTTGCGGCAGATTTGATATTACAATTGGACCAAAGCAGAATATGGGAAAAACTATTGAAGGAATCACAGTAACAGTTCACATGCCAAAAGTTGTGCTGAATATGAACCTGACACCAACACAAGGCAGCTATACATTTGATCCAGTTACCAAGGTATTACCACTTCAAATCAAGAGGGAGCCTGTTTCTGTAATCTTTTTTTTTTTTTTTTTTTTTTTGTGTGTGTGTGTGTGTGTGTGTGTGTGTGTGTGTGATTTGGGGCATGGGCTAGAGGGGATGTTTTATAGTTCCTAACAAAACAGAGCATTTGCCCCAATTGTTTATACTATAACTTCAGATTTCTATCTTGATTTGTATACTTACTCCTCAGAAATTGTATCATTCTGTGCTTTTGCCAGCAGCTATGAAGAAGATACTGCATCTGCTGCTCAGTAGAACAGAACAGAGACTCATTCTGTCCCCCTTCAGGGTGTGCACACCTTTGCTCATCCATTGATAATCCAGGCACTCACTCTCTAATGAGGAAGCAGATATAAAATTTTTTAAAAAGAGAAAAATAATGCATGGCTATAAGAAGATATATAGGCTGTTGCTACATTTACTGTAGAAATTGATCATTTAGATCTTTCTCTTCCTCTTTTTTTTTAATTTAAAAGCATTGTTTTATACTTTTCCACAGGGGGTTTTGACAAGGAAAGCAGTGTCCTCACCCTACATAAATGTGCCTCTAGCAGAGGATTTTCTCTCAATTGGATAAAAAAATATTATTTTCAACAACAGAGTCATTGGACTGCCTGGTAAATGAAAAGGCTTTTTTTTTTAAATATGTTTTTATTGATTTCACAGAGAGAGAGCGAGAGAGACATCAATGAGAGAGAAACAAACATCAACCAGCTGCTTTTGGAAAGTACACCTGTTCAAGATCAAGCCCCCAACCTGGGCATATGCCCTGCCCAAGAATTGAACTGGTGAACTAGTGCATGGGGTAACTGCACCAGGTCACCAGTTCAAACAACTGAGTCACACCGGCCAGGCAAAAAGGCATATTTTTAAATACAATATTAAAGATCATCTAATCAGTCCTAAGGATTTGAAGAACCACACAGGCCTGAAAAGTGAAGAGGGGCTTCAGGATGCCTGGCCCCTCACAAACCCAGCTTCTCTTTTTCATCTGTTACCGAGCTTCCATGCTAAAGATTTTATTTGAATAAAGGGTTCCACACCTAAAAGCTTAAAATACCAGTGTAGGTCAGTCTTCTCATTTTACACAAAAATAAACTTGAGGCTCAGGCAGAAACGGTGAATGTGATATAGTAGAAAGAGCATTTGAAATCAGATAATCTTAGGTTCAAATCCCAGCCTTGTTACTATCTAGCTGAGTGATCTTAGGCAATCATTATACCTCTGAGCCTTAATTTCCTCATTTGTAAGAAGACAAAATCTGCATCACAGGTTTCTATAAGATAAGATATAGGTAGTGCTAAGCACAGTGCTATACCCAAAAGTAAATGTTCAACTAATGTTGGTTCTCTATTGACTCTCCATTTAGGCTCACAGAACTAATGAGTGGTTATCTCAGTGAAGGTCCCAGTTCTCGTTTCCAAGACACTGCTTCGTTTTGTACAAAAGTTTAGGGTGTTTTTGAACATTTCTTTATTAAAAGGTTGAGATTGTTTGTTTTTCATGTCTTTTTAAGGTACTAACATGGGATGTGGGGAAAATTACTCCACAAAAGCTCCCAAGTCTTAAAGGACTGGTAAATTTACAGTCTGGAGCACCCAAGCCAGAAGAAAATCCAAGTCTCAACATACAGTTCAAGATCCAGCAGCTTGCCATTTCAGGTCAGGTTAAATTTGATTTGTGTTTAAGGGTGATTGAGTGCTGCTGAGCTCAACTGCTCGGAGCTTAGTAGGGTAACACTCCCTCTCTGGAAAGAACAGTAGCTCCGGTTTGCCTTTCACGTTGTTATGGGGCCAACCTCTCAGGGATAGGATTTTAGAGAGCACCTGTTTCAGTTTTCCTTTACCCCAGCCTTCATTCAAGCACCAAAGGACTTCCGTATTCAGAAAGTAAATTAACCTTAAAAGAGATTCCTTGCCCACAAGGGAATCGGAACTAAAAGAATACCTCCACAATGCTGTAATTTGTATAAGATAGAAGGGATATTGTTTACAAATAGTGTAAGGGACACTGGTTAATGTCAGATTTACTGTGTAGTGCTCACTGTTAAATATTGTATTCCCTACCTATTCTTTTTGACACAGGCTTAAAAGTAAATCGCTTGGACATGTATGGGGAGAAATACAAGCCATTTAAAGGAGTCAAATACGTCACAAAAGCTGGAAAGTTCCAAGTGAGGACATGAGGAGGCCAAAATCCCTCAAGATCTGTTTGTTTTCTAAGTGTCATTATAGTTTATAACTGAGGTACCAAGTAGGTGGGAATACTTATTCTAGTTAAAGCATTTGTGTGAGCTACACGCTGCTAACAGAGTTGCTTAGTGATCCATGTAGGGTTCTTAAGGAGCTTTAAGCTAAGGTAATTTTTTAATAACTTAGCTTTTTTTGTATCTTTTCACTTAGGAAGATTTGGGGAGTGGTTTTCTCCACAGGGGGCACCAGCTGGAGGTTGCACATTGTAACAGTAAAGGCAGAGGCTACAGTGATAACCTCTCCTAAAACAAGTGAACTGATCTCAGCCAGCAGCTGTCTTAAGCTGTAACGTGATGTGTCAAGTGCAGCCAAATATCACACCCAACCTTAGCCATCCCAAATCAGCATCTGTCCCAAGAGGAAGTTCCCTCCTCCCCAAGAAGTTTACAGAAAACTGCCTCTTCCAGTGTTTGCCTTATTCAGCTTTTCACTTGTGCCATTAAGCAAGCACTGTAGCAGAAGCCACCTCCACATGCCCTGGCAAGGAGTACTGCTGCTCCACGCTCCATTCTCACTGTACTTGGTATTGTCTTTTTTATAAATAAGATTTCTATGTAAAGCGCAGATTTTGATTTACAGAGACTTGCTGCAGTAAGTACCATCTCAGTTTTGCACCATTGGTTCAGCTGTTAGCACAGTAAAAATCATTTGTATGAAAGGGGCAAATGCTTTATTACAGTAATAAAAGGGAACACTACTGCTTTTAGGAAGTTATTGCAAGCACAAGTGTTTGAGATTTTAAATAAATTACAGTAGTAAAATAAGAATGTAAGCGAACCTTTGCCATCTTCATGTTTTATAAAGCTTATCCAACACCAGTTAAACCATAGTTAGTCTACAGGCCTCATGCTGTAGTTTAGCAAGAGGAAAATACGTCTGCCTCACTATGGTCTTTCATCTTTTTTGTTGTTGTTTTTACTGAATTTATTGAAGTGACATTGGTTAATAAATTTATATAGGTTTCAGGTTACAATTCTGTAATTACATCTTCTGTATATTGTATATTGTATTGTGTGTTCATCACCCAAAGTCACATCACCACTTACCCCTCTAAACCTTCTTCCTCCCCCCCCCGCCTTCCCTTTCCCTCTGGAAATCACCATACTGTTGTCTGCGTCAATGTGTTGTTTTTAAGGGGCTGAATTTGCTTGTGTCCCCTTTTCATATTGTATGTTTCCCAAAGCTATACTCAATAGCTTCTGTCTGAAACTATTATTGTATTGTCACTGGAGCACTTACATGTCTCTGCTGTACTGACAAGTTACCTAGAAGAACATAGTGAGGCAGAAACAAAATCCTCAGTAACATTGATTAAACCTTGTGGTCATCATGGTTGGCTGCCAGTCTACAGTTGTATTCCACTCAACTTCACTGGCTCAGTAGTCCTTGCCCAGTTAGTATGCCTCATTAGACATGAAGAATGGAGAAAGGCTAAAAGTTAAGATACAAGTGCTTGTTCTTCCTATGTTCCTTCTTGTCCTTATTTATGCTATTAGAGTTCTTCTTATGACTCCATTGTTTTCATTCTTCTCAGCTTATAACTCCCTTTCCTTTATGTTAAAGAAAGCCTTGACACTCATCCCATTTTGCTGTCAAGGACTAGTGTTTGGTGCTGGTGCAGGGAAGCCAATATACAGAAGCATTCTTACCTTTGTCTGCCTAGGGCACCCAGCCTACCTTTCATCTTTTTGTAACTCTGTAATTTCTAGAGTAGCCCAGGCCGGTTTTATTCAGTTGGTTAGAGTGTCAGCCCAAGCATCAGAGGGTTGCAGGTTCAATACCTGTCCCAACCAGGGCCGAGCAGGAGGCAACCAATCAGTGTTTCTCCCCACCCTCCCCCACCACGCCTTCTCCCTCCTTCCCTTTTACTTTCTCTAATAATCAATGGAAAAAATATCCTCAAGTGAGGATTAACAACAACAAAATTTCCCAGGTAGCCATCATCAGCTTGGCAGCTAAAATCAAGAAGTTGCCAAATATTGATTCCCTTTGCTTAATGTTGGCTATCCAGTTCAACTACTTTTTATTTTTAGTGTTTTATAAAGTTCATACCTCAAAAGAACAATCAGTTCATTTGCTTTCTTCCTGCCAAATCCCTTATCAGCCATCTGTACCTGCTGTCCATTTTCTTTCTGTGCTGTCTCCTCTTATATACAAGCAGATTGTATGCCAAGAGTCCCTTGCCTCTAGCAATTTCTGATAAAGCTTCCAAATAGACTATATCCTTTTACAATTAAATTATTGTATTTATTGATTTGATTGAACCCAGTAAATCCTTCCTCCAGCTCTGTCAATAAAAAGATGAAAGCAACAAATTGACTTTTTAGCCTGACTGTTGATTGAGCATTCTCAAAGGGGCATGTCCCAGTGTCAGAGCAAGCACAGCCTGATGGGATTTCCTTCAGTCACACCCGGCGTGAGGGTGGCTACAAAGCACTTCCATTCCTGCTCTCTTAATCTCAGTGTGTTAACCATCATGTGTCCGTTCTCTACACATCACCCTTTGGGCCACAGACTGATCAAAGCTGCTTCTCCCTACCACCATGTACTAATAACAAAGATTCAGTAATAGTAGTATAGACCATTTTTCAAGCACAGAATTCTAGCTAATCCCAGAATGGCTCTGTTTTCTAAATTGTTGAAGGAGTGTATCTTAAGAGCAAACGAAGTAGATGCTTATGTTCCGCGTAAGGGAGTCACCATCCTTTCACTCAAAGGGAATTCATGTGATGGGTTTGTTCCTTAAATGGTACTAGACAAGAAGAGCCTTTGGAAGACATTTGTCGCACTGCCCTCAGGGTATTCCGATTTGAGAAAATGACTAAACTATAATACAGCAGGAAGCCAGCACCAATGAACACAGGATGAACAGCAAAAATGAGACCGTGAGTGTTGTTTTCAGGTACTACTGAACACATTCAGTAGCTTTGGACATTTCCTGGGGACTCAAGCAAGCTAGAATCTGCCTCCCTACTCAGTAACTTTTCTAAGTTAAAGCAGCACTATAGCCTTTTAATATTTACCCCTTTCTGACTTAGCAAATCGGGCAAAAACAGTGACGGCCCAGCTCTACTCCAAGAACTGCTCCTACTCTTAGCCAGTGCTTCCTCCAGCGGGAGGAATAGGCCTCACAGCCTCTGTGGGTCCCTGCAAACCCTCTTGTTCTATCCTGGGCTTGTAACAGCTTCCGCTCTCTGGGGGACAGTGATGGCCTCCATGGGGAGCTGGAATCGTCTAAAATGAGGCAGACTTCTACAACCAGGGGACGGTCCGCACCACCTGCTGCTTTCCTCCTCCTGCTGACCTCTGTCACTTTTGCCCCTTATAGTATATAATCCCCAAAGGTGTCCTTCATTGCACAGATCTTTGCCAAGTAAACATGCGGCTGGTTTCTACTACTTACAGCACAACGTTAGGCTTGAAGATTAGTTCCGCTGGCCGTTTTTCGAAACAAAGGAGAAACATGACCTAAAAGTTCTTGCTAAAATATCATTTAAAGCGTTATTTATACAAATGCACTTTATTGTTTTAAACAGAACAAAAGAAAAGGCAGAAAATATTTGCATATAACAAATCCTAGCTTATAAATGTAGTTTTAGTGGTGATGTCTAATCATTCAGGGATTTTTTTTTTTTTTTAATTTGCTTCACTGTGTCTTGAGCACTGATATTAGAGAAAAGCACATCAGCATAAAAGGTAAACCAGTGTCTCAAAACACTGGAAGAACTGGAAATGTTTTATTTCCTCTAGGTAATCTTTAGTAAAACAAAAGGTGATCTTTGGCATAGATTCATACTTTAAAGGCATTAATGTTGCATTTATCAGGTAAGCAACTATCCAAATATGCTGAGGGCCTCGAAAACCTTCATCAGTTAATAGGAAATAGAGGAAGCCTGAGTGTACAGTACCAAGTCCTACACATTCCATGTTGGGATCTACCACGTTGGAGGTGGGAAGGAAGGGCATTCAGGCAAGGGTTTTTCCTCTACTCACCCAGATCTGGCTTTGGGGAGAAAGATGCTTTCTTGTGCTGGGGATGCTTAGACAGCAGTGATAAAAGCAAGAGGAAAAACTTCTCTCATTTGCTAATAGGAAAAGTATGGTAATGATTTAGTACTTTACCCATTACTCTCTTGAACAGTAAGGACGTAGGAGGGGGAGAAGATGCGAGGGGCTTGGTTGTAGTTGGTTGAGGGAGATGGGAATTACCGAGGACTATTTCCCATTGATTCATCCCCAACAGCGCCAGAATTCCAGTCTGCAAGTACCACTCTCCCTTGGGTAAGAAGTGTCCCTCAGACAGGACCGCCTGTCCATTAAACACTCCTGGGGGCAAGCACCAATTCTTAGGACTGAATTTCAAAAGGATCAACAGGATGTTTTCTAAATTATAGAAGAACAAACATGTATCTTTAAAAATCTTGTTTAGTTAGGCAGGGTGTGGGACAAGAATATAAAAGCAAGGATAGGAGACATGATTTGGTTAAAAATTAAATGCAGCATTTCAGCTCAGAGAGAACAGTGAGAGTTAAGAATGAATGATAAGGCCTCGGCGCAGACCTCTGCCGGCAGTGACAAAGCAGGAAGCGCCTGGGAATGGCCCTGCTGGGACGGTGGGCAGAGCAACTCCCGGCCCCTCTGCCCCTCCAGCAGCAGAGAGCACCAGGACACAGTGTGTTCGTGGGGTGGTTACCTTGGCTGGCCCTGGCAGGGGGATATGGAACGAGGGGTTTCCCTAGCACAGGAGCAGGGAGAAGACAATCGTGATTCTGCGATTTCCTCCCGACAGACGGAGATCTGATTTCATGCTATGGGAAACGAGGAGGATTAAATGGTGGAGGGGTAGGAAGTGAACCCAGGACCCCTTTACGGAGGCTCTTCCAGGTCTCCCACGGCTTCCCTGGCAGCAGTGAGGCTCACTTCTGAGGGGTCCAGGGAGCGGCCAGGGAACACAGGCAGGTCAGCAGCCACATGGAAAGCCCAAAACAAACTTCGGAGGCACCGTGATTCCGTAACTGACTTGCCGGGGCCCTGGCTCTCGGGAGCCTGGCGGGGGAATAGGGAGCAGGGAAAGGGAAAAGGCAGGGCACTGTACCCTGGGAATGAGGAAAGAGCGGGTGTCTGGCTAGTGTTCACGCTTGGATTCTGAGCTTATGTGAAGTCCGTGGGCTAGAACCCAGTCTGCCTATTGGGAGCATGTGCAGGAGTATAACTATCTGAGGATGCAGACACGTTTCAGAGTGTCCATGACAAGAGAATAAATGCTTTCTAATGTGAAGAGGCCCCATTCCTTTCTGTTATATCAGGCCAGGATGTGGCTTTCAACCCCCCAGCAGCGCTGGGCGGCTCCTGGAGCTCAGATCACTTCCATACTGTTTAGTGGGGATCTCTGTGCCAACCAGGTCCCACCGGGCGCCTACTGGTACCAGGGGGTCTTCCTAACCCAGCGCAGTGTGAACCCAGCATCCGTTCGAATCTTGATTGAAGCTGCTTCGGCCTCTCGCACAGTCTCCTTCACGGACTGCATGAGGTTCTGGGCGTTGTGGACCAGCATCTCCGTCGCCTGCAAGGGGAGAGGACCTCTCCGTCACTCAGTGCCTGACGCAGCGGCCCCGCCTCCCGGCCGGCCTGAGCCAGGAGTGCACTGCCTTTCCCTGACCTGCTCCCGGCATGCCCGTACTGGTCACATCACTGGTGGTTTAGCTGGATCACCAAAAAGACCCCGAAACTGGCCCATCATAGTGCACGCTACCCTCCAAAGGCCTCTAGTGTATACTCCTTCCTGACCTCCCAACAAGCTCCCGCCTCCAGCTCTCGCTTGCCCTCCGCCTGAAATGCTCTGCCAGGCCTCCCACGGCTCACCTTCGGCTCCTTCAGACGCCACTCCATTGTCACTCTAGTGAGGCTTTCCCCGCTCACCTTATTTTAAATCCCCTTCCCCACTCCCAACAGTCCTCATCCTCCGATTCTTCATTTTTCTCCCAGGAACCCATTATCACTAACTGATGTACTGCATGTTTTACCCAGCTTGTTTTATCTAAAAGTTAAGTTAAAGGACAATTTGTGTCAGTCTTGCTCATGGCTGTACCTCTGTGTTAGGACAATGCCTGTCACATAAGAGGTATGTCATAAATATTTAATTAATGGATGAAAAAATAATTAAATGAACAAACCAACCACCTTACAAATCCACGAAGATCTAGTTAAGTACATCTTCTACATAAACAAACTTACAGGACTGGGATCAATCACACTGGTACTCTACCGTAGCAAGTCAGAGAACTAATTAATCCATTAGCCCGTAATTCTTTTTTATTTTTTTATTCTTAACTAGTTTTGAGCCACAGAACCTGCAATTTAATGAAAAATGATCACATCTACAAAATTTGTGCATGCAATCAGAGAGTCCGTGGGCTCTGAGAAGCATAACTAAAATAGACTATGAAAAATAAATAAATTTAAATTTAAATTTTTTAAAAAATAGGCTCTGATTCCTGAAAATTGATCTTTTCACTTGGTCAACAAAAAGGCTGAAGCCTAGAGTGGTCGGAGACTTGCCAACCAATCTCACACAAAGGATAAGCTTGCAGTCCTGTGTTTTTCTGCCTCACTCAGTTTCTATCTTTCTTCATTGGACTACTTAACAGAACACAGTAGATACTCCCAAGATACATTTTTGTTGGTTATTTAAGTAAGTCTGAAATTCTGAGCCTTATCCTTCCCTGGCTTCTCACCTTCCTTTTCTTGGGGCAGAAGAGGCCACATGAGAGGAAGCAGCCTAGTGCCTAGGCCTGCCTACAGTGCCTGGAAGCTAGGGGTGAAGATCCAGTTCCACGGTTGGGAGAGGGGAGAAGAGGGAGAGCTGGGATTGAGGCATGGTAGAGGAAGCAGAATCCTGGCGCTGTCCCATCTGACGTTTCCCTAGCCTCGGCTCCTGGTCAAGAGGTCAGAGACAGCCTTCCAAGCTGTCTGTGGGTTCCCCACAGGGAGGGCTTGAGTCTGTTTTTGAAACTACCCTATACAGTACTTAACTCAGTCCCACCTACACACCCAGTGTATGGAGAGCTCGCCTGAGCAGTTCAACAAAACACGTGCTCCCTACCATGAGGTGCTGGGGGTCTGGCTCACAGCAGAGCCTCCTAGAGAGGAGAGACAGGAAGGCGCTTGTCTGAGGGCTTTCTGAAGCACCCGGGCCACTTTTCCAGGGGGCAAGGAGGGAAGACAGCTCCAAGAGGCATGGCTGAAGGGAACCTTCCCGCCATCCTTCATTTCAGTCTGTCACCCCCGGTCAGCACGGTCCCTGACAAGCCTCCTC